GCAATATACCTCTGCCAAAGTCATCGATTAATAAAGGCGTGATGTTACATTATTATAAAATATTTCCTTTACGTAATAACCAATAATGTTTGGCATTGGCGAGGTGCAAATTATTATTAAGTAATTTCACAAGGTCAGAATTATTAGAATCGCGTATCTTTTCTTGATTCATAAGTTCATAACACACGTGTTTGTGGACATATATTAAACTGGTTTTACATTTGTATAATAAATATTTAAATGATTATTATATTAATAGTCACTGATGAAGATTAAAAAATGGGTATTGTATAAAGAAAAACACCAGTCGCTAGTCTGTACTATAATAATGTATGTACAGTTTACAATGCACCTAAATCCATTGCTTGACTGAATACTCAAACGAAAGCTATAATGTCAGATTCTAACCTATTACCACTAGTTATTAGGTACATATAATAACATCACGCCTTTTATCCCCGAACGAGTAGGCAGAGGTGCAAATTACGGCACTTAATGCCACTGTACAATGTAACACCCACTTTTCACTATTTAGGTATATTATGAGTCCCATGTAATAGAGGGTAAGCCTTTTGCCATATACCGGGCACAATTCTAGATTCTGTGGTACTATTGAGAATTAAAAAAAACCAGTAATACTTTGCCGGTTCTGGGAATCGAACCCGAAACCCCTTGACCGGCAGTCGTACTTGCGATCATCCGGCCGACGAGGCAGTCATTAGGTACTACCTACATTCTAAGAAATACAAAACAGAAAATTAAAAAAGTTACCAAACTGAGTAAGGGCAATCCATCGCTATCGTCAGTCCATTCGAAAAAAAAATCAGACATTACTTATTACTTGATACAAAATATTAATCATAATACATGGTTCATTTACACAGCTGTCTAGCAACGCTCTATTATAATCCTAATCTTGATATACTTAAGCTTCGGATTTCAAATTCATTAAATATGGACGTAGCAAAACTAAGTAATACAGAATACTGTTAGAACAGACTAGCACATCAAGCTATCTCAAACCGAAACTAGCCGAAATATTGTTAACCTTATCATAAGAGAAGTTAAGGTTGAAAATGTACAAAAGGAAAGTCAACGGTGCATTTATATCGCTTCATGAATAGTGTGCTGATTAGCTCCTGATAAGATTAGATTGTTGGTTTACGACATCGTTAGCTACCATGTGTAACTAATGGATGAAAGTCCACTAGGTATAGTCCCGTGTATTTTTAGAATCGATAACACAATGTATTTCCCTCCCCCCCCCCCCCTAGAAGGAATAGACAAAAAGGCAAATCACTCATTTTTCAGCAGATAACCACGTATGATAATGTATGAGTCCCTCACACCCAACTCCCATGTAAAGGGGCTTCTTGCCTTATAATGGGTACAAATCTAGATTCCGTAGTAAACTGAGAAAAACCTATAATATTCCATGTCCACCCAAAAACTAGTTACGTCAAAAGCTGACCAAAAACGATACTACGTTATTTTGTTTCATACCAAGATAATTAGCCCAAACAACGTAATTACTTTTATGTCGCACTCAGGTCCATGTTGTTTTAAAAATGTTCGTGTAATCCTACTTAATCTCATTGGCTACATCTACATCAGTTTCCTCAATTTATCTAGATACAAGCTAAATTACCGTTTTTAGCAACGTTATTGAAGTCGAGTTTTGACCATAAAAATAGACAATTTTTTACTCTAAGTCCAAGTTCAACGTCTTCTAAATTAGAATTGCATACATTTTTGCAAACAATCTTGACTTGCTAGTAAGAATATTTTATTCAAAATTTGATTTGCATTTTTGTTCGAGACGAAAACCTCCGCTATCCCAACTTAGTTACTAATATTATTAATGCAAAAGTTTTTTTGTTTTTGTAACCTTATTTACGCTTATCTACTCATGCAATCCTATTGGAATTAAGTACCCATGACATATAATTGGGAGTATAGAGATGGACATAGACTAGACTAATTCACACGAGCACAGTCAGTTTTTTTATATATTCTCCTCACAAAAATAACATTATAGGTATAAGATAGTGTAGTGTTGTATGTAGTAGAACATACCAGTCGCTTATGAGCTTCGGTACAATGGTGTGAATAACAAATGAGAATAATTAATTTCCTCAATGTTTCCGCCCGTGTAATTAGTAGCCGGCATTGTGGGTTTTCGTACATTATCGAATGATATTCCAAATGTGAGTTCGACAACATTACTAGTTTAGTTACTAACTACGCCTTTAAACCTTAGTTCTGTAGAAATCTCTTAATGTAATGTTTTGATTGAAAAAATAAGCAGAGACAAAATCTTTTCGCCTCTTAGAAATTTAGAATGCGTCCACGTACCAACATATGGAGAATGCGCAGCTCGCGAGCTGCGCGCGTGCGGTGTGGTGCTCAACGCATCAAGTTTCGTATAAATTATAATTTTAAATGCCTCGCACGCAGTTTGCGGGCTGCTCATGAGCTGCGCATTCATCCCATGTGGACGCACCTTTATGTTCGTCAAAATCAATGGCACTGGCAGCACGGAGTCTGTCGTTTATGATGTGAAGACGTCTGATAGGGGAAAATGGGAGAAAAAGACATATTGCAGCAATTCAATGGTATCCCAAGATAAGGGGAATGAAGAAGGGATGATGGAACTCTCCCCTGTTCATGATAATGGTTTTGCACTTTACGTGAGCAACGTGAGATAGATAACGCAGAGATTGGTATTTTGCTTGAATTTCAAGTCTCTTATTGGGCCAATTGAAATCAATGACATGACTATCAGTTTTGGTGAAATGTCAATACCCTGATAGTGATTATAATTTAACAACAAATTATTGATAACAATAAAACTGTTAACTAGGTACGACTAAAAACTAAATAAAAAATGTCCAAAATTACATAGGTAACTAATATCATCCTGTTTAAAAACAGGTCTCACGTAAAAATAATTTTGAATCTAAAACTCCGAAAGGGTTACAACCTTAGTTGCTCGTCTCGCCAGCACCATTCAAGTAGCCGGTTATTGAGGAAGTATGACAAAACCTCGGGTTTTCGGGTCGGCCTTCCCAATCCACAATAACCATTCTATGGTACTGTACATAGTGCTAAAGATTTTCTTTTTACGACACCATAAACGCTTGGAACAGTGAAATGCTCGTTTAGGTTTCCAGAATTCCGTATTGTTTGATCGATGGTTTTCGGTCTTGAAGATGGATTGTTGCGCTCGAATTTAGGAGATTGGTTATTTTCTATGTTGTGTCGAAAGGATTATAGAGAGAATATTTGGTTTTTGGATAAAATCTTGCAGTTTTTGTAAAGATACACACGTATTTTGTAATAATTGTCAAGGTCGCTTAAAACCGGTGGATCTGGAAAGCATTGCAAGTCATGATCAGCAGTAGAAGTCTCATAGTTAATATAATAATTATTTAATGGACTTCGGATTTTTGCTTTGTAATTTGTATTTTTTACACTGAAATTCGTGTTTAGTGTTGGATTCTCGACTTCTAAAACCATAACGCATTGAGTTACTAAGTAATTCGATCGGAATGCCAAATTAATACTTTTAGGTTGGTATTTCGTAGTTACTTCTGTGTCAGGTATGACTTCATAAAACGCGTGCGTGTTAAAGGTATGTAATGACTTTATGACCTGTATAATTAGAAGATTCAACACGATGTTGGAACGATGACTTGCGGTATCTAATCTCTTGAGTTCCTAGAAACCATTTTGTGAGTACCTACAGTCAGTACGTATTTACAGTCCTGCATGTAAGCAGGTTTGTAGTGGATGTAGGCAAAGATCGGCCTCATCGTTCGCTTGATAAAATTGACGTGTAAAACTGCTGCCTTGTAGCCTATTTGCAGAAATAAATTCACTTGTTTCACTTGACCTAAATTCATTCAGTGAATCATTTCGATTAGACATTAGTTCTAGGTAAGTATTGAAATTCTATCAATAACCTACTCTTACATAGATTCTTTTTTTTATACCTATGACACCCACAAGAAGAATAAGGGTGCTGACAAATGCAGTTAAATAACTATTCGAAGTTCTATTTGGTCATCACCACAGCCACAGGGCACCCTTATCTACCTACCTAGGTAATACAGTGATCTCTGCAGCTCGTTTCAATAATTAAATATGGATTTAGTTCTGTTAGCACAATGAAGTGTGGCTAATGGCTTTCAGTAATTAAATTAAACGGTATTTAAGCTTAAGATAAGAAGGAAAGGATAAGTTAGATAAGGTATAAGAGAGGTTTAAATTTTAATATGAGTTGTAAATTTGACGTCACATACCTACTACTGCCAACCTTAGTTAGTAGGTACCTACAATCGAAAACCTAAAACTTGACAGCCAGATAGGCAAATTAAAGAGTTAATTTCTAACCTAAATAAATGGCCAACTTGGTTATAAATACAACTATTGTTTACGTTTTTTAAAACGAATAACGGTCGAGGTCAATTATTGTCAATGTGTCACAATTTATTTTATTTAAATATTCCAAAGCTGACGTATCCATTGCGTACTTTACGTATCATTGATTATATTATTATTCACCGTCATAAATCGTGATAATTATAGCCTTTAAGTATAGGTATTCATGTCAAGTCAGAGTACAAATGATAACCTACGTGCCCTAAGTAGGTAATAATATCTAGTTAGTATTTATTACCTACGTTCCTAAGATTTCAATCTTAATAAATTGCAATGCCTATAAACTATAAATGAACATCACTATCTTATCGACCGATCATAGATTCTTTAGTACAATAAGTTATTAAAACCGCACGAAAGTGTTTACTCCTCAACATAACCTGCATTAACTAGTGTTGCGATAAAACGTGGCGTAAGTCAACTAGAAATCCAACGATAACTTTGTATTTCTAAGAATTAGATAGAGGAACAATAAATAAATCATCATATAAACACAATTAACAAATTCTAATACCAACAAAAGTAAGATAAAACTTTGTTTGAATTCAAATACTCACACTAACTAAACACCGGTCAACTTGTAAATCCGTGTGACGTAAAATAACTTCACAACTTTTCAAACACAATAATGACACTGCAGTCGCAAATATCACTAAAAGTTGACACTGAATGACGTCATTGTTGCACAAAACATCACTATTTTCAAGTTTTTACAACACTTCGGATATCGGGATGGCGGTAAAGTCGCGGGAAAATAACGCACACTACGCGTCCGTATCACGCGGCGATCGCTCGCAAACTGAATGAATGAATCGAGTATTCGAGTGGCGCTCAAGACCGGGCGAGACCGACCCGCGTGTAAACTCGACATAGTTAAGCGCGTAAACGCGTGACGAACCTCGGACCACCTCACAAGGTCGAAGTTCGCACTTTTTTGTACGGATTATGAGAAAATTCTATTTTACGATAATCTTTTGCAATTTTGTATTGAGTTAAAACGGTCACGTAGTCTGTTTATGAACTGGTTCTAACACAGTTTTTCATTAGCCTTTTTTCGACAATATCTAGTAAACTCCCCACATGCTATGCTGTACACGATGTGAGGTATTTTTTCTGCGAATAATTTTCAAAGGATTTTGTTTTGATTTTTGCATCCGAACATCCCTCGGACAATAGAGCAGCGATGAAAAATTTGCGATAGTTAGGCGAATTCATATTGACAGTCACGACTATCCATGCGGCATGCCAGTCAAACTGTAGAACTGTTTCTGATTATTAAATCCCAAAAGTCAAAACTCTCTCTCTTTGTTGTTAGTTTATTCTCCGTACCTCAGTTTTCGCAGATTTTCTACTTAAACCCTAAGGTTGACTGGTAGAGAATGCCATATGGCATTAAGTTCGCCTCGTGTACCATAAACAAATTATGTACATTAAAGAATAAATAAATAAATAAATAAATAAATAAATAAATAAATAAATAAATAAATAAATAAATAAATAAATAAATAAATAAATAAATAGAGGATGGACTATAAAATATAAACCGACCATATTTTTTCAAATCATTACATAGTATGAAACAAAGTCGCTATCCGCCGTCTGTCTGTCCCTATGGATGCTTAGATCTTTAAAATTACGCAACGGATTTTAATGCGTTTTCTTAATACTTATATAGAATGATTCTTAAGGAAGGTTTATTTGTATAACACATACATATTGCACCCGTGCGAAGCTGGGGCGGGTCGCTAGTATAATATCGGTTGGCGCGGTGACTGAGTGACTGACTGCTGCGCAACGTGTCGCGGGTTGGATTCCCGCACGGAACAACTCTTTGTGTGACACACAGATTGTTGTTCCGGATCTGGGTATCATGTGTATGTGAACTTACTGAACTTGTATATATATTTGTAAACGCACCCACAACACAGGAGAAAATCTTAGTGAGGTGAGGGGCAACGTTTAAAAAAAAGTTAAAACTCAAAAACTATAATTTAAGTAATGGATCTTCAATCGCAATCAATGTAGTCTATTAGCACAGATTATTAAATGCTAGTAAACAAAATAGTTACTTACTAACTTGAAAATATATACTGTGAATAATGAAATAAGGGGAGAGTCTGCGCACTATGCACTAATGCACCGCTCAAAAACTTTCGACGTTGCCAATCCTGTTGTGAACCGTGAGATCAGTTAGACATTCTAGTACATTCACATAGTGATAGTTACCTAATTGGTTTAACAAACGGTAACATATTGCTATGCACCTCCAACAGCATGTCTTGTCAGTTGTTAGACAGTAAAAGTCTGACTTTCACCAACCTAGATAAACATCTAGTACCTACATATTGAATACTAGCCTAACATCAGTTTAGAACACCATTCACTTGTAATTCTTGTAACAGGTAAAGTTAGGAATACATTCTATTACTTAATTCACTAATTTATTTTTAGTATTTAAAAAAAAAAACGTTGCCCAACTCTACAATTTTCTCCTGTGTCGTGGGTGCGTTTACAAACATACAATTTCACATACACATGACACCCAGACCCACACATACACATGACGGAAAAACAATCTGTGGATCACACAAATAATCGCAAATCAAATAATAATAATCGAAATCGAACCCGCGACACGTTGCGCGGCAGCCAGTTGCCCAGCCACCGTGCTCCATTGTCGGCCATAACATCGCTTACCACCAGGCGAGAGGGTGGCCAAACATCGACCTATCAGGTATAAATGAAACTTTTTATTGTAGAAGGCAATTAAATGACTAATATAAGCAGCAAGCATTTGATCATGTCAAATGCAAGATACAATATTGAATTATAAAAAAATTAAATCAAGTTAATAAATGTTAAGTTCTCTTATCCTATAAAATTTCATCAATTATTCAATAGCATACGGCCACATTTGGACCTAGGTTTGAAAAAGTACTCTTAGATTTTTATACTAGCACTTATTACTTATCGGCTAACCAGTACCACAGAGAGAATTGAAGACTCCACCTTAGTTTAACCATTCAAAAATAAGACGATCGTGTCTTCTCCAATCGTCGGGTCGCAAATCATATCCATCATAACTGAACTATATCAAGATAAATGGAATCTAATGGATTCTCCATCCAAGTCTAACTCAAAGAGTTAACAATATTTTGGGTACATTTAGGTACATTTTTCATAAACCCATTTCGTATAAATCAACGTTCTAGCATTAAGTAGCTTCATCAAGAGTAACGTAAATGGAAAAATCTTCTAAGCTTCATGGAATATTACCCTGAGCACCACTATCTAAGTGATTTACTTAAAAAATAACAGCACTGATCCGTGAAACTATTTAGGCATCTGTTCAATGTTCATCTGTTTACACCACAAGGTTGAATTTTGAATGTCAAGTTCACATTGTGTAAATGCTTTTACAAAGGACATTACATACCTTATTGAACCCTATTTGCTTAAAAGGTTAGACTTACTTAAAAAAAAAAACACTTTTCTCGGAACATACCTACTTAGATACTTTTTTATAGGATAAGCCGGTAAACGAACAACCTGATGGTAAGCTCGCCCATGGACACCTGGAACACCAGAGGCGTTACAAGTGCGTTACCGGCCTTTTGGAGATTAGTTAGAGTTTGAGGATTGTTGGGGATTCAGGGATGGGGGGGAGTAATTAGGGATACGTATTGCGACAAAAGTTTTTAAGGTAAAGCAATCTGCTATTGTCTACACTGGACATAATATACATATATTTCCCGACTCCGTGCATTTTTCAAATACTTTAATAATACTTTACTCGATCCGGGATTCAGACTCGAGACCCTTTGTTCGTCAGTCACAACGAACAGGCAATTTTTTTGAAATCTTTATTTATTTATAAACTAGCGACCCGCCCCGCACGGGTGAAATATGCATGTATTGTACATATAAACCTTCCTTAAGAATCAATCTATCTATTAAAAAAATTCGTTGCGTAGTTTTAAGTATCTAAGCATACATAGGGACAGACAGACGGCGGATAGCGACTTTGTTTTATACTATGTAATAATGATGTATTGTGGTTTTATCCCATATGGACATGCCCACACTATATAAATATAAGTATAAGTAGTAGGCCGATTTATGTTTAAACATTTAAACAATAATAATATAATCAGAAATGTATTTCTATTGGAGGAATCAACCTGCCCTCATAAAGTTAATAAGATCTATTTATTGACGAAAAAACATAACTGTTATAAATAAATATAGACAAGCTCTCAACAGAAAATGGTTTAGAAAATGTAGTAGCTAAGCCTAAGACGAGAGTTTGAGTAACTGGTAATTTTGAAAAACTAACAAGCCAGAAACTTATTATTTTCTCCTAAAATCCAAAACCTAGACTTCATAAAAGTCTAGACACGTATATTCAGCACTTTTCTAAACTTTTTTTTTGTTAAAACTTTTTTAATACACAAAACTTTGAATAAAATATGACGTGTCCTACCTAAGACTACTTTATAAAATATGTTTACTTCGGGGTTTTATCCTCTTAAATCAATTTTTTGTATAGTTTGAGATTGGCTCATACATAGTGTCGCTTGTCATTATGCTAAATCCAAATCCACGGAAATGTTGTTTCATACCGTTGGTCTGTAAGAAGCCTAGCTCTCCCAAGTCTTAGATTTCGTGAACCGAAGACTTGCCTATACAACCAGTATACGACATCTCTAATGATCATTAAGCCTAGGATACACTAGATTTGGCTCCTTTTTTATTTTTAAGCGGGGAAAACATCGAATGACTGCTCCCGCCTGAGTGAGGCGGGAGGGAGTTTCAGACTCTTACTGACTAAAAACCACCCCGTTCCTACTCCTGCACTTCGAGCCGTAGCCCCGGTAACCCGTTAGGTTCTCCGCGACAGATTTGTCCCCTAATGACTTGTCGTGCAACACGAGTCGTCAACAACGTTGGGTGAAGTATCACGACGTTGCCGGACTTTGATCGATATGTCTGGCAACATCGCTCGAAACATATCCACAGCGTGTCGCAGGATGTGAAGGTATCCTTGGCTTTAAGTACACTATAAAATAATTGAGTATACAACCTTGAAATCATACAGAACTCCTCGCTATTATTTCGAGAAGATTACAAGTTATTAACCAAAGAGACCCGTTAATTCATTCAGTCTTCTAAAGAGTATTTTATTGTAAATAGACTAGAAACAAATAGCTAAACATTAGTTCGTACTTAAGTATTATTTACACGTAGCTCCGTGATATATAAATCTTATTTACTTAATGTTAAAACTTTATATTAAGTACTTTTTGACTGACTGCCATTAGGCAGAGGGCCGTAAGTTAGGTCTCCAACTTTCTATGATAGCTCATTATTTATAGTGAGTCGGTCTAGTGTTAGAGGAGGTTTGGGTCAATTAGACCTTTGATAATAACGGTTTATAACATTTTTATTATTTATTAGGTTTTTCGGCTTACTTATATAATTATTTGACGAGGAATCGGCGCGTGGGGCCCGCACCGCAGACTCGAGTAGCGCGACAGTCGCCGCGTCGCGGGTCGTGGAATTCTACTCGTGAATATGAGCCTGGCATGGCATGGCATGGCTTGAAATTAGTCGATTTCCTCGTCAAATAATTACGTGAGTAAGCCGAAAAACATAATAATTAATTTAGCATGACTCACGAAAATTATAATATAAATTTTGTTGTTGTAAATTGTATTTGTGTATTTAATTTTATCTGTTTGTCATTGTGTGTTTTGTTTGTGTGTGTATTTGTCAACAGTAAGTAAA